TTAAGAGCCCATAACTTCTGGACCCGCTTTCCAAACAATTAATCAGTTCTTCATATTGTCAATACAAATAAAATGTTTTTTGTATTATTAAAATCGGACGCTCCGTTTTCTTAAAAACTGAGTTACCCTTTTTGGCACTTTTTGCTCCGTATCTTCGGCATGGCTAGACTGCCTTCGCCAAAAACTAATCAACACGTCTCCTTATCAATACAAATCGAATGTTTTTTGAATTATTCAAATCGGTTGATCGGTGTTCCCGAAATCGTCGACAAAAATTTGTATCCGCACACACACACACTTTTTTTTAAAGGTATGCCAAAAGGTTCAAAAACCTTTGAAACGTAAAGATTTTCGGCCTTTCAGAATTCATTTCAGAGGCATCGTTTCTTGGTAAAGTAGCTTATTTTGATCACTAATAGAATCCGAAAATTATATGTGCATAAGTGACTTTAAATCGACGCCGCCTTAATATACACTAAATACTTTTTGAACATATTCATTTGGATAACAAAAATAGAAAGAACACTATTTAGGTTTCTAAAAATATTGTAATTGATTTCTATACGTTTCGAGACCCAATTTGACTTTCATTCAGTGGATAAAACTATAATAAATAATATATTGTATATTAAATTTATCATAAAATAATCAACAAAAATATTATAAGTACGGTATTATAAGTGATAGTGATAATTATATTTGTACTAATTAAATTTACATATGAAATAATTTGTTTTGAAGTTGATTTTTTTATAAATAAATTTCATTTCATTTATAACTCTGTATAAATTGTGATAAGTTTGCGTATAGAAAAGGCTTTGTTTTACAATGTTTTAAAAAACATGGCTCCTAATGTAGGCCAAAACTGATTTGTATTGCTTTTATGTAATGGAAGACAACCAATATTTATTAAATCAATTTATTATTTATAAAATTTTTATTACATTTGCATCGTTTCAAGAATATTATTACTATAATAATATTTTTCATAATGCTAGAATGCACATGAGTCGCTGTGCTTATATACTATATGTATAATTCAAATATGGTCTGTCATTTTCAAAATGACTTCAGCTGATGGCAATTTATTCCACCCATATTTTCTCAATATTGGTAATAAAGTATGTAATTGATCATGATTCACTTCAAAATCGTTTGCCCATGACCGAATATCCTCAGTAATTTCTTTACTATTACTGCTTCCAGAAATTGCTTTCTTGCTGATTTTAGCACTTTTCAGTAAATTCATTCCTAAATCTGCTTTTTTAGCAAGTGTTTTGATGTTGGATACACGAGAAAGAGGCTCATCACTTGAATCTTCACTGCTTTCATCACTTGAATCTTCGCTGCTTTCATTAATTGCTTTCTTGCTGATTGTGGCACTTTTCAGTGAATTCTTTTCTAAATCTGCTTTCTTAGAAAGTGTTTTGATGTTGGATACACGAGAAAGAGGCTCATCACTTGAATCTTCACTGCTTTCATCACTTGCATCTTCGCTGCTTTCATCAATTACTTTCTTGCTGATTGTGGCACTTTTCAGTAAAATCTTTTCTAAACTTGGTTTCTTAGCAATTATTTTGATATTGGATACACGAGAAAGAGGCTCACCACTTGAATCATCACTGCTTTCAAAAGTTGCTTTCCTTATGATTCCAGGCCTTTTCAGTGAACTTTTTCCTAAACCTACCTTTTTAGGAAGTGTTATGATGTTGAATACACGAGAAAGAGGCTCATCACTTGAATCTTTGCTGCTTTCATTAATTACTTTCTTGCTGATAGTGGCACTTTTCTGTAAATTCTTTTCTAAATCTGCCTTTTTAGAAAGTGTTTTGATGATAAATACACGAGAAAGAGGCTCATCACTTGAATCATCACTTGAATCCTCACTTGAATCATCGCTGCTTTCAAAAATTGCTTTCCTTTTGATTCTGGGCCTTTTCAGTGAACTCTTTCCTAAATCTGCCATTTTAGGTTTGATGTTGATTACACGAAAAGAGGCTCATCACTTGAATCTTCACTGCTTTCAATCACTACTTTCTTTTTGATTGTAGCACTTTTCGGTAAATTCTTCTCTAAATCCGCTTTTTTATGAAGTGTTTTTGATGTTACATACACGAGAAAGAGGCTCATCACTTGAATCTTCGCTGCTTTCATCACTTGAATCTTCACTGCTTTCAATCACACTTTTCTTTTGGATTGTAGCACTTTTCGGTAAATTCTTCTCTAAATCCGCTTTTTTAGGAAGTGTTTTGATGTTGCATACACGAGAAAGAGGCTCATCACTTGAATCTTCGCTGCTTTCATTAATTATTTTCTTGTTAATTGCAGCACTTTTCGGCAAATTTTCTCTAAATCTGCTTTTTTAGGAAGTGTTTTGATGTTGCATAGACGAGAAAGAGGCTCATCACTTGAATCTTCACTGCTTTCATCACTTGAATCTTCACTGCTTTCATTAATTGCTTTCTTGTTAATTGTAGCACTTTTCGGTAAATTCTTCTCTAAATCTGCTTCTTTTCAAGGGCTATTTTGATTACCGTTACACGAGGAACAAGATCATTCATTGAAATTATTGCTTTCATTATTTACTTTCTTGCTAATTGTACTTTTCGGTAAATTCTTCTCTAAATCCGCTTTTTTAGGAAGTGTTTTGATGTTGCATAGACGAGAAAGAGGCTCATCACTTGAATCTTCACTGCTTTCATTAATTACTTTCTTGTTAATTGTAGCACTTTTCGGTAAATTCTTCTCTAAATCTGCTTTTTTGGGAAGTGTTTTGATGTTGCATACACGAGAAAGAGGCTCATCACTTGAATTTTTGCTGCTTTCATCACTTGAATCATCACTGCTTTCAGAAATTGCTTTCGTGTTGATTGTAGCACTATTCTGTGAATTCTTTTCTAAATTTGCTTTATTAAAAACTGTTTTATTGTTGGATGCACAAGAAAGAGGCTCATCACTTGAATCTTCGCTGCTTTCAATAACTACTTTCTTGTTAATTGTAGCACTTTTCGGTAAATTCTTCTCTAAATCCGCTTTTTTAGGAAGTGTTTTGATGTTGCATAGACAAGAAAGAGGCTTATCACATGAATCTTCGCTGCTTTCATCACTTGTATCTTCACTGCTTTCAATAATTACTTTCTTGTTAATTGTAGCCCTTTTCGGTAAATTCTTCTCTAAATCTGCTTTTTTAGGAAGTGTTTTGATGTTGCATAGACGAGAAAGAGGCTCATCACTTGAATCTTCACTGCTTTCATTAATTACTTTCTTGTTAATTGTAGCACTCTTCGGTAAATTCTTCTCTAAATCTGCTTTTTTAGGAAGTGTTTTGATGTTGCATAGACGAGAAAGAGGCGTATCACATGAATCTTCGCTGCTTTCATCACTTGTATCTTCACTGCTTTTAATAATTACTTTCTTGTTAATTGTAGCCCTTTTCGGTAAATTCTTCTCTAAATCTGCTTTTTTAGGAAGTGTTTTGATGTTGCATAGACGAGAAAGAGGCTCATCACTTGAATCTTCACTGCTTTCATTAATTACTTTCTTGTTAATTGTAGCACTCTTCGGTAAATTCTTCTCTAAATCTGCTTTTTTAGGAAGTGTTTTGATGTTAGATACACGAGAAAGAGGCTCATCACTTGAATCTTCGCTGCTTTCATCACTTGTATCTTCACTGCTTTCAATAATTACTTTCTTGTTAATTGTAGCACTTTTCGGTAAATTCTCTAAATCCGCTTTTTTAGGAAGTGTTTTGATGTTGCTTACACGAGAAAGAGGCTCATCACTTGTATCTTCACTGCTTTCATTAATTACTTTCTTGCTGATGATAGCAGTTTTCTGTATACTGTTTTCTAAATTTGCTTTATTAACTGTTTTATTGTTTGATATACAAGAAAGAAGCTCATCACTCGAATCTTCACTGCTTTCAATCATTACTTTCTTGTTTACTGTAGTACTTTTCGGTAAATTCTTTTCTAAATCTGCTTCTTTTTCAAGGTCTGTTGTGATTGCATTTACACGGGAAACAAAGTTATCCATTAGAACACAGCAGCTTTCATTAATTACTTTCTTGATGATTGCAGCACTTTTCAGTAAATTCTTTTCTAGATCTGCTTTTTTAGAAAGTTTAATATTGGATACGTGGACAACAGACTCATCACTTGAATCTTCACTGCTTTCAATTATTACTTTCTTGTCTATTGTAGCACTCTTTGGTAAATTCTTTTCTAATTCTGCTTTTTTAGAAAGTGTTTTGGTGTTGGATACACGGGAAACAGACTCATCACTTGAATCTTCACTGCTTTCAATAACTTTCTTGTTGGTTTTAGTACTTTTGAGTGAATTCTTACCTAAATCTGCTTTTTTAGAAAGTGTTTTGGTGTTGGATACATGAGAAACAGACTCATTACTTGAATTTTCACTGCTTTCATTAACTACGTTATCAATTGTACCACTTTTCAATGAATTAATTTCCAAAACTGCTTTATTACAAACTGATTTGGATAGGTCGGATACACAAGAAGCAAGCTGATCACTTGAAGCTTCGAGTTTAGGAACTTTAGATTTCTTTGATGATAATATAGAGTCTGCAAGTCGCTTGATAGCCATTGACTTAGCAGCCCTCGATTTATATTTCATTTTAAATAAATATAACCTCAGAATATTAAGAAGAAATCTAATGTGATATTTGCCTAATGCAAGTTTACAAAATCATATACAATAAATGAATATGTAAATAAATATATATGTATATCAATCAATATATATTATTGGAATAATTTCCAGTTTCAAATCTAAGGGCAAAGTCACAAATCTTTGAAATAAAAAAAGCGTTGCACATTATGAACCAATATTAGAGATGTATTCATATATAATGTATTTAGGATATATATGATTGCTTATAAATAACACATGCCATAAGCCAAACAAATGTTGTTCTGACATTTGTGTTATTTGGAGGTTATGTTTTAGCAGTTTAGCGCTCAAATGAACGCCATAAACGTTGCTTTTTCGTTGCAATTTCGTGACTACCAACTCATATCAAGAGAACTAAAAATATACATACATTATACTTGTATCTATGCATAACATAATATCGGGCTAGTTGTAAGTGGCATTTTGCCTTAAGCCAAGTTGCATTAACTTCCCAAGGCGTATGCATAATCAACTTAATCAAAAATAATTGAAAATCAGTTAATTAAATAACATGTTCAACATTTATTTCAAAAATAAAATTTCCTCTTTCACTAAAAAATAATTAATACGATTTCCGAATGATGTCTTTCAAACATACTTATAATATCTGTACTAGTATAAATTAAATTAAGTTGTTTAACACATTTTTTTTCATCTATTTTGGGTTCAAACAATGTATTTTATTAATTGTAGATGTCAACTGCAATCAGCAGCTGCATACAAAAAACCAAAGAACGTACATGTTTCATAAAAATCTCCAAAAAATATTCTAACAGTTAATTAGCTTGCCTGACCTAGCCTTTATTTACCAAAAATTAATCAGCACAATTTTCCACTTATACCTTTGCAATAGTTTACGAATTTCCGAAATCGGTTTGGAATATATTATGCAAACGTGGACAAAAAATGTTGCACTTTTTGCAAATTATAAAGATTTCTTATCAAGTTTTATCAAATGGCTTTTACATTTTTGAAATAGGTCCGTCCAGCCGTTTTTGAGAAATCGTCGACAAAAGATCGAAAATCGGCTCAAACTTTTTCCCATTTTGGTCCCATTCGATTCAGAATGACGTGAAACTTCCAGAAAACACAAAGTTAGCAAAACGGACTTCTGGCAATTTTCTCTATTTGGGAAGTTACCAAGTCATTTATATATTTTAGTCCAGTCATTTAAGCTTAAATTAGGTAAGAATCTCGGAATTCAAGATACCCAGCTGTAAGTTTGTAAATACTTGTATTTTGCACTCTAAAAGTTGTCTCAAAACCTACATATGTTGCGTACACCCTACCATATGTAGGTTTTGAGACAACATATAGGGTGTCAATATACAAGTATTTACAGACTTACAGCTGGGTATCTCGAATTCCGAAGTAAACTTACTATAATGACTGAACTATTTGTTTTAAATTTGTTTTCTATATTCTATAAATCCAAATTATTCTACTTACTTTTCATTATTGTATGCTTATTCGGCTGTGTAACAGACCAGATAATAATAGTTGTGTCCAAACTGCCACTGGCAACCATCAGAGAATTTGGAGACCATGCTACACAGTTAACACGAGCATTGTGGAAGCCCCATTCTTTGTTGTGAGCAAGCTGGAAATTATAAATTATAGTTAGACAAAACAGTAATTGTTACTAGCTTACATTAGATCTTAGGTTTCATATGAAATGTTCAAATTAAAAAAATTACAGAAAATGCATTGCTCTTTTCTTATTATTAGTTATAAATATTTTTGATGTTGAACTTCTAATGTGAAACAAATTAAATTAATTAAATAGTCCCTGAAAATATGGTTTATAATCAAAGAATGCTGTATTTTACTTTAAAATATTCGAATATTGTTTCAAAATGTTGAAAATTATTTCAGTTTTCTAATTTGCCTGATTTTTTTTTTAAATTTGTCTTGAATTGTTTTAAATTTGTCTGAAAATTGTTTTAAATTTGTCTTGAATTGTTTTAAATTTGTCTGAAAATTTTAAAATTTGTCTAAAAATGCTTTAAATTTGTTTAAAAGTGTTTTAAAATTTGTCTAAAAGTGTTTTAAATTTCGTTTAAAAATGTTTTAAATTTGTCTGAAAATGTTTTAAATTTATCTAAGATTGATTTAATTTATCAAAAAGTGTTTTAATCTGTCTGAACATTTTAAAATTTGTCTGAAAATGTTTTAAATTTGTCTAAAAATATTTAAATTTGTCTTAAAATGTTTTAAATTTGTCTGAAAATGCTTTAAATTTGTCAGAAAATTTTAAAATTTGTTTAAAAATGA